GCAAAAGATATCACGAACTATTCCAAGTAATAACTGAACTCCAAGAATATCAAATACAACCAACAGATAATTTAACAAGTTGAAGAACAAGAATCACAATCACAAGAAATTATATCACGATATAACCAAAATAAGAACACCTATATTCAAGAAAGAAAACAACTTCGAGAATTAAATGCACATACTACTTCAATATAAAAATATAATTGCAACCCTCAAAGAAAAGACAGCAATACCAGAAAAATTGTGAACACAACTTGATACTAATATAATTGAAATATACAAACAAGGACTGGCATTTATATACTGAAACTCAACTTAAAGGAATACAATTACCCAAACCTTGAACAACAAATATACAAATACTTAATCAACAAAAATAGTCATATATCAGAATATTTACAAATATCATTCTTAGAAAACCTCCAACAAATAGATCCACAACTCAAAGAAGAATATTTATTCCTCGAAAATTTTGAAAAATTAAAAAGAATTTTAAAAGCACAATACAGCTTATTACGATCAAAATATCGCGGAGGAATATATTCTGAACCATTAACCAAAGAAGACCAACAACAGGAAACATTACAACAAGAAACATTACAACAAATATTAAATAACCTTCCACGAACAAAATACCTTAATATAACAACACTATTAAAAGAACTAATCAATATAGAATACTATAATTAGAAAGAAAAAATATTAGAAATAATTACTGAAATCAATAAAATACTTTTATGAACTACCAAACAAAACAAATAATTTGTGTAATATCATGAAATATAGCAAGCAAAATTCAACATAGATTTCCAAATCAAATAAGCTATATATACAACCCACAAACAAGAAAAGTAGAAACATGCTTAAACATTTTAATCCAATCATCAACTTTCCAACTATCTACTTTTGGAAATAACAATTCAGCAGATCCAACAATACTAGTAGAATTAGTACAAGAAATACAACATTTTATTAAACAACTACCAAAAGTAACAAAAGAATACGT